GAGAGATTTCCTATAGAAAAAATTGAATTAAGGTAAAATTCAAAATTCAACAGTCACTGAATCCTGATTAGTCTCTGCCTCAATTAAGAGCAGCTGCTCTTGAATGGAGATGCACCTTAACCCCCACAGAAGATGTTCTTGAGTTTCCTTGTGCTTGTGTTCCTCCAGCAAAGGCCCTGATTATTACGTCTTTTTTTTTTTTTTTTTCAAAGATCACTACTGCCATGTGTTTTACCCATTTTTAGGAAAAGTTAAGGAAAAGTATTCTCTGAGAGTATAAAAAAGGAAAAAAAAAGGACCAGCTAGAGGCACTCTAGATCCCAGGGACACTCATCTTGGTCTTTCTAGACACATATAGGATATATCACAATGGATTTTAAGAAATGTTTCAGACTAACAGTGGCTTTGCAAATGGGTCTCCATACAGTTGCCTGGCTTTTACTTAAATCAATTAAACCTTTTCTAAAGCCAAGGAAAGAATGTTCTAGGCTAAGAAATCAAATTTGTCACCTCTTGGATGCCTTAGTGACTCTGAGCTGGAGTGTGTGTTAATAATGCTCTCTGTCAACTTTTTTACTTGGAGACTCCGTTCCATCCCGGCCAATATAATTCACATTTCCATCACCTCTTGGCTGGAATCTATTAATGCAGAACAATTTGCACACACAGCCTTTGGCCTTAAGGGAACTCCAGGAATTACAGAACACTGCAATGCACCTCAGCCACGAGGCCATGGGCACATCAAACCACTCTGCTGATCTCTACAATGGCTCCTGCCAGAGCATCACAGGAAACCTGCAGTATCAGTCCTTGCTTTGCTCTCCCCCTCGAATCTGGGATAGCATGGATACAGCTTTCCACTGGGAATGGGGCAGCTAATGACTATTCCTCTGACATGGTAGAACCCTACACAAAATCTGACATGGGTGTATATAAACCTGTGAAAAGAAATTCTTTAAAAACACTGGGCATCCCAAACCTCACTACCTCTCAGGCCATGTACAAGACACATTTCTTTGACATTGCCTTGTTATAATGACTACACATGTTTTAAATTGCAAGCTTTACTGCAACAAACATGGAACAGTTTATACACAGACAGGCAGTGGTGGCGGGCACTGAGTTCCTGCCACTCACATAACGTAAGTTTGTGTCAGACATGGGAACCATAAGGCTGCACTGCCAGAAGAATGTGTTCTAAACCTAGCAGAGACATTTTTTTTTTTTTTTTGCTGAAGGAAACACTATTACAGAGAGCAGAGTCAGTCAGACTCATTTATGATATGAGTTTTACCAAAGGCACAGAAATTCTGCCTTCCTTACTAGAAGATTTGCAATATAACCAGTATTTAATTCTATCAATTCAAGAATAAAAACAAGCCCTCCACCATCTATTTATCTATCTACCATTATTAACTTGCCAGCATAGGCAGATGAGGATAACTATGCACTTGGACTTGAGACACTGTTCAGGTTGTGAGCAATGTGCCACTGAAGAACAGACTCAGCCCTTTGAGTGTGCTGCTTTGATGAAGTTTATCTCTCACTATTTGGCATATGGAAAGATTACAAAAACCAATTTTGTCACCTATGCACCTGAAATTCCATGCACTGCAACTATGAGGTATCAAAAACAAGAAACGACACCTTCTGAAAGGCAAATGTAGGACAAACAGATTCTTTAAGCAGTTTACTTGACAAATGTCAGTAAATTAGTAAATACATAAACTTATATATCAATGTATATCTGGCAGAGTTCTATAAATAGGTCTTAATAAAAAGCAGCAGTACCAAATGAAAAAGTAGTCAAAATAATCTAATGAACTGGTTTGAAAAGAAATGGTACTTCAGGAAATATCTGATACATAATTCTAAAGTTTTCTCACTTGAAGGTCACATCAGCCTAACAAAGAACAAAACTTGTTATTAACATTACTGTTAATACTGAGACAAAAGGGAAAGAAGGGGCATCAGTCAATAGAAGAGAAAGAATAGCAATAAAAGAATTGTGGAATTCTTTGATGTTGGATAATAATTTATTAGGATGTTTATCAAAATAGCTAGTAACACAGTGCTCTCAGTAAAGTACTACCAGACTACCAAATAAGTACCAGACCAAAGTGCTAACAGGTGCATAACCAGCATTCCAGTTCACTTCAGCAACTCACCTTCACCTTGGGAAAAACAGCACAAATACCAACAGGGTACTTTTCTTAAGAGTTTCCTAATACAGCAGCTGTACCACCTTGTGGGGCATGCAGTGGAAATACTTAAAATAGGTCTAGAAGAACAGGGATAGAATTCTATTGTATCATATTATACACTGCATATTCTCCATGGAATCATTTAATTCCAATAAAATCTGTATTTCCCATGGAGAGCTCAGGGACTTGGAATGTAACTAAAAGATTCACTGAAAAGTTGTAATCAAACCTTAGGAGGTCTGAAAGTTGTCTATTATATGAGATATATTATTGTATGTTATGCAATTAAATATTGTGCTATATATGACATGAGTAGGACAGATTCCAGCTTAGCTTTCAGATAAAATTTTGGAGGACAACAAGTTCTGTGAGAGCATCTTTACTCTGTAAACTGAGCTGATTTCTGGAAGGGATAGAGATATGCCAGCAACAGAGGGTTACATAATGCTCATTCCAGTGCTGGCACTCAGATCCCAGCTGCACTTTTGACCTCTGCCTCAGTTTCTCTGTGTAAAGCATCCTGATATTTTAAGATAAAGAGTCACTTTTACTATATCAATACAATTAGATAAATCAGTGAAGCTGTTGAGGAAAGGGACCCTGGAAAAGTTCTTCGTATTTCATATGTTACACCTTGAGGGTTACAATGAACCAGGAAAAGTTAAAAACTTGTGACAATAAAGAGGTGATTTCACTGCATTTGTTTTCTTCTTTTTTTAATGTAGACATTCATCTTCCACAAGGAACAAAGCTTCTCAAGACATACTGGAGAGCAAAATGCTCAAGTCATACATGCTTAGTTTCAAAGTTATGTTGCTACTCCAAGAGAGAAATCAATGTATACTATATTAAAAGCAATCATCACAGTCCTTCGAATGATTGGAGAGCTTAACTTTGAATGCAATTCAACCTAATAGAGGCTTTAATGGCTTTTGACAGATTGTTCCACTGATCAAGGGACATGTATGAAAATAACTGCCTACCAAGCCCTGATTTGATTTTAAGAAAAGAAAACTGAAGGTTAATGGTAAACAGAAGTTGATTGTTCACATTTTCACTGAAATAACTCTATCTGACCTGTTCTTAGAAGCAGTGGAATAAAGGATAATGGGAATCTTATACACCTGACTTTTTACTTTAGCCTGTAATCAAGGGGACTAATCAGACCAAGATGTGTTGGCATGAAAGCAAGTATTTGACGATAGGGAGGGGGAGGAGAACAACTTTTGTGACCAAATTCTTGATCATCATGGACAAGCCCTGTAAAACCAGTGGAGATTTAGAACATGTAAACCATAGGAAATACATTCTTTTGGATTATGAATGTTATCTCCTAAGCAGCAAGAAGCGAAACAAGAGTTCCCGTGATACGTGAAGTTCTCATGCCTAAATATCAGCATTTTAATGTGCTAATTTTGTCAGTTATTTCTTGGCTTTTATTTTACATGTTATTCAGCCAGTTCTGTAGCCTTTCTATGCACAGTCTTTTTGTAATGGTATAAATTGTCTTCTCTTGTTCAGTGAATGCCCTCAGGCTAAGATGAAGAGGACAGATGAATGTAAATGAAGGTGCAAGCCCAGTCACACTGAAGGTGAAGAGTCAGTTTGGACAGGAAAGAGAGCATGGCTCTATTCAGGACTGCCTGAAAGAGAGCATGGCTCTATTCAGGACTGCCTCTGCCTGTACAGAGCCAGAGCAGGGCAGGATGGGAGTCATACAGAACAACGAATGCTGGTGGTTTAGGCAGAGTCTTTCATCACTCCCTAGCAGCTCCCACCCTCTAAAGGCAGATTATTGTAGTCCTGAACTTTTCACTCTTATGGGGAGTGCAGTGGGTGTCTGTTTTTGATGAGGAACCTCATGCAAACAAGAATTCTTCTTGTCTGACCCTGCTCTGTGTCAGACCACTGTCCTGGTAGGACATAACAGAAGATGAGTGCAGTAACTTGAATTTCAAATGAGAGAATCTTTGAAGGTACTCAGTCCATGGAGCTGTAGCAGGATGGAGGCTGAGGCTGAAACTGGGAATGAAAGTTTCTCAACCCTGTTGCTACAGTGGAACAACCATTCTTCTCAACTCTGCAGTCTTGGTGCAAGCTGAGAGCGGTCAGATCCCAGCAGAAAGCTGAGGACTGGCTGTCAGGACAGGAAGGGGTTTAGGAGCCAATATTAACTTTGCACCAGGTGGTAACAATTAAGAGAGGGAGCCTGACCTGCACTGTACAAGTTTGAGCTCAATGACTCCCATATGAGTTCAGTTAATGAAGTTGTGGCCTTGAAAAATCACATCCCTTGAGCCTCCTGTACATCCCAACTCGTCTTGCTCTGCTCTCAGCCCAGTTTAGACTAAGGCTAAGCCTAAGCCTGCCTTGGTTTAATATCCAACAGCCCAAACTCCACTGCATGGCACAGGACTAATGGAACAGCACTACTATAACTGAGAAAGGAGCAATGCCAACTCTTAAAACACTGTAATATTTTAGTCACATTTCATGATGGATTTTATTAATATTTTGATTTCTGTGCTGTTATATGAATAGAATCCTTGAATCTGCCCTACTGTATTAAGTAGTCCAGCATGATTTTATAGTGCATCTTGCACCACTACCAATGAAACTAAAACCATATTCAGATGATAATATGACGACTGATTTGGATATTTATTATGGTGCATGTTACCCATCCTGCACAGTTTTCAGTCAGTGATTACCCACGGCATTCTTATTTACCCTTTAAATAATCAGAACCTGCTGTAAAACTTAGAACATAAGTATTATGCCTTTAAAATCTATTGAGATTATTTTATTTATTTACATAACCTTTTCAACAGAAGAAAAGACCTATGGCATAAAATATTTTCATATACACAGATATGAACAAAGCATTATAAAAACATTTCTAATTACATGGCATAACACAGCAGTTTTCTATCAAATACTTAAAAATAGTCTGTATCTTTCATCCCCCAAATTAAGAAACAATAGAAGTTTTTAATTTTCTGCCAACATTTTCTTTCTATCAGTGCAAAACCAACTCTGTATCAGATTTATAAAAGAAAGCCCTTGCCTTAAGCATTTCATTTGTACTGGTTCCATGTTTAGTCAGTAGCTTTTGTAAAATTGATGAATATTGTCTAAAGGCAAGTGCAGACAGGCAAACAGATCTGTATCTTCTGCAATCCATTTAGCCTGATGCACACGTGCAAGTGAACTATTTTACCTCAATTCAGGCCTGGCTGATGAAAAGTAAATGCAAGCAAAATCGTGAACTTCACCATTTTAAAAGAACCACTGAATTTAATGTCAGAAGTTAATTTATGCTCTCACCTCTTCCTTGTAAAAACTTGATCTTGGTCCTCATGCTTCTAAAGCATCCAGGCTTGGCAAACAATTGCTACACACAGAACATTAATTAGAGGCCGTGTCTTCCAGCTCTTTCGAAAAGGAGATGGGTTATCTAATGCTGGAATATAAATGGATTGCTAAAGAATCATTGAAACAAGCTAAATTATAACTACTTGAATAAAATAAAGAAATCTTCAAAGTATTTGTCAGCTTCTAACACATAACCTAAACATAGCAATAATTTATACTTGATCTCTCAGGTTTTTTAATACCATATTTACCTTTAACCCTGTTCTCCTTTTGGGGTACCCTTTGGCATTACTATGTGCTTCTAATAGTTTCACCATCTTACTCATGTTATTGCTATCAACTCCTGTGGGCTTTGGAGATATGATATCTTCTCATACTTCTGCATTTCAACTGAACTCAATCAGGTTATACTGACTGAGATGATGCAAGACTGGAATGCAACACAGAGCCCTAAACCAGTTGATTATTGGTATTTTGGCAGTCTTAGTCTAAAGGTGTTCATTTGTCCATATCATTGATATCCATGGCTTAGATAAGTGGCATCTGACTGCACTGAGATTAGTACTAGTTCGACTAATTCACTGCCTTAAATCTTCAAGCATAGGCAAGACCTGGGAACGTGTATTCTAAAAATTCTGTTATTACTGCCAGCAGTCTCCTAATAGGTTTGGGATTGTTTTAGTTCGGTTTTATTTTTACTGCTGCTGGAAATCATTATTTGCCAATCATTTTTTAATAGCTTTGCCTCCACTTCAGCTACAAACTATATCATTGATGTGCCTTCTCCACCCTTTCTGAAGGTCAGATTCCTTTCAATACCATGATCCCTATGGATTTTAGCAATGCTTAATTAAACACAAAGTGATCATAACATAACAGCATAAATAAACAGTTCCCCTAAACACTGTGTTAACACTGTTACATCATTAACTTGTCTGAATTCATATTGCTCATTTCCAAAGCAAGATCTGTTTCTGAGAAGTGCCTTTTCAAAAGCAGAATTCCCACATCTTCAGTAGCTTTTCTCTAAGCGATCTCCAAAGTAAACAGTGTTTAGTGTGGCACTAATCCAAATATGCCACTGGTAAAGCCAGCTTTAACTAGTGCAGAGAAGAGAAAGCTATGCTCAGAGCTGTATTTCCAAATGTTATGAATTCTATGGCACAAGAGACAACAGATAAATGTGTGGATCATGGTAATCTTATCAAACCTAGTTTAAGTAATAACTTATTCTTCAGAGAGTCTTTACATTCCACAGGATAACTAGAAGTTTTAGCAGAAGCCCAGTACTACAATGGAAACACTTGATTCAGGTATTTTTATACTTTTGCTGGCACAGCTTTACCTAAAGTCTTATGAGGTACAACCTCTACTTGATATAATTGTCCTGGCAAAAGCTGGTAGGTGTGGACACAGTTTTATACCACTAAAACTGAATTTTTTACTGGCACAGCTTCCTTAGCTCCAGGGAGGTCTGGCATATGTTATACTGTCAAAAGCACAATTTTCGGGAGTACAAGCCTCATCCACACACACAGCACTTTGCCAGTACAGAAGTTGATGTGTTCTGGGTGAGTCCAGCCTCAGTTTAAAGCCCCAGACTTTAAACACCACATTAACACAAGAGGCATATTCATTTCTTGGTGGCAACATCAAACTCTGAGCACGTTACTACAAAACATTACAAACAGTTCTGTTTTTCATAGTTTTTGGGTTTGTGCTCATAGAGCTCACTTGATGCTGTGATATTGATACCCAATATCACACAATCTAAATCTAGTTTCTCAGGGGACCAAACAACCCTAATGGAAGGTCTTACTTAGCTCCATCACCTCTTTAGGCAATGCTCTGGGAAACTTGACCTCAGAATAGGATTCACAACATGCAGAAACAAAGCAATGATTAGGAACTGAATTCTGAATCCCAGGGAGCCCAGGAGGTACAGATTCACATTAGAAATCTCTCTTAGTAGTACTCTGTTGCCATGAGGCAAAACAGTACGAAAGTCTTGAGATCTATGTTAGAATACTCCCACAGAATTCCTCATCTGAAAAAATGGTCTGAGAAGGAGTCACTGCACAAAGGAATATCTCCAGTATCTCCTGCCCCTTTGAGTTACTGGATTGAGAATTCACAGCTCTGTTTTGAAGATCTCCAGCAGACTCACCCCAAGCTGGGCTTTCATTAGGATGCCCAGATCATGCAGTCTGCTTTGCCACACCTATGAGCTTCACCTTGGGTTGCTCACACCTGCCAGGCCAGTTCTAGGCACTTGTGGAAGCTGAAATTTAGATACCAAGGGAATGTGTCAAAACAACTGGCAGAGTTGGGCCTGCTCAGCCTCAAGAAGAGATGGCTGAGAGGGGACACTGCTGATCTCTGTCAGTATCTGCAGGAGTTGTCAGAGGATGGACCCTCTGCTCCTGGTGCCAGCAATGGGACAAGAGGAAGGGGCAGGAATGATGCCCAGGAAGTTGCCCCTGGACATGAGCAAGGAGCCCTGAACAGCTTGGCCAGAGCTGTGGAGTGTCCCTCACTGGGGACATTCCAGAACTGTCTGGACACAACCCTGTGCCCTGTGCTCTGGGTAATTCTGCTTGAGCAGGGAGGTTGGACCCGGTGATCCCACTGTGGTCCCTTCAAACTTGACCCATCGTGTGATCCTGTGAAACACAGATATCCCTGGGCTGCAGGGTCAATGGGAATTAGAGTGCAGGAGGAGGGAACTAAGGCTGGTGTTCTGGACTTCAGGTCTTAAAAAACTCATGCTTCTGTAAATTTGGGGGCTGGTCTTTTTTATTATGAGACAGCAACTAAGCTACTGTGTAAAGACTGGTAACATCTGCATTGACACACAAAATAACATACAATCAAGAAATCATAAAGCTGAAAAGATTTATGGTAACGACAAAGCTTCTCCCCAGATGACCAGCATCAATAATTCTAGGCTGGAAGGTCACTTGTTATTCTATCCATTGAACAAGATTTTGTAGATAAGCAATTACTTCTTCTAGATCATATGGCAGAGGCATATTACATTCATCATCATCTGTCCAGAAGGGATGGCATTCTGGTTTCTGGTCTTCTGGCAAGCTCTCTGCTGCGTCTGACTGGCATCTGAAAAGAAAGGTAAGCAGACAAACCACTTAAGTAAAACTGTATCAAGAAACTGAATACTCAGCAAGGATACATTTGAGCATTAATTTAAAGAGAAAGATTATAAAAAAAGAAATACAACATCTTCTGACACCAAATGGATTGCACATTTCCATTGAAGTTGATTTCTGTTGTAGGCTTTGTATTTTCTATAGGGATTTCTCAAAAAGCCAATCACAGAGAAAACTCAGTTAGTGTTCCTTTATATGGTGAATTATTTTTTCATTATCTCAGCTGTTATTTAAAGTATGTGATTAAATCATTATCAGATTTAAATGTTTGCTGGTTTCCAATGTATTACTAGATTATTGAGAAAGATTAAACTGAATTTACTGCATTAAGGTCAGGGGGGATAGATTAAACAACATTAAAGAAGCCAGACTAGCTTTGTAGATTCTGGAGATTTACAAGTGTATCAACCTGCTTAGCACTGAAAAAGGCAATATAAAAAGAGCAAATTCTATAAAGAAAAATGGAAATGGAGGTTAATAACAACTTTCAATGATGAATGGGTGGGCAAAACTTCAATAAAATTAAATTAAGAAGCTAGTGTATGTAAGTCCCCAGAGAAAATGTTTAAATTACAATGTTTTTTATTAAATGGATTATTCATCAATACTAGTGAAGTCTAATTATAATATTCAGCTGAACTGCAGCCTGCAGAGGAAAGTTTTTATAAGTGGCAACCATCACATTTCTAAAGATTAGACTAATACATGCCACATCAAAAACATTGTCACAGTTAAGGAGGATTTCTCCCCTTCTTGTTTCCTTTCCCCTCAAACAATTTTCACATTGCTGATTAATTAGTTAATATTTACAATGGAGCAAAAAAAGAAAATGCTGAGAATTCCCTTAATTTTGGTCCATACTGCAGGTCTATATAGCTCTTTAAAGAATTAACAACCAAATTGCAGAAATGCAATTCTATGTCTTGTATGACATTTTTAAAAATCTGTGTTCTATAAAGCACGTAATTTTTGTAAGAACTTTAAAGTTATTTTAAACATATATGCATCTTTCACCTCACTAGAATGAACTCTAAGAATACTGACACACTCAACTCCCTTGTCCACACCACTGACCTTCTGGAAGAGACTGTTGCCAAATGAACGATGTCTTCTTCTCCTGGGAATTATTAATAGCAGTGTAATCCCCATGAGAAAACATACTTCAGCTTTACACCCATGTTGGTGGGTGGTTAATTGCTGCACCAGCATCCTGGGCACTCAATCCATCGTACATTACACTACAAGGACAGTATTAACACATAGCATTCCAATATATCTTCAGCTCTCCACATCAGCCCCTGATAATAGCATCTGTTAACATGCACTAAGTACTATTATGTAGCACATCACTTCATAAATAATAAGATTAGCCGACCTCAGGGCCCTGGGAAGAGTAATGTGTTTAAATGTTCTCATTATTTATTTAAAACAAGAATTAAAGGAACAGAAGCTACTTGTGACAATCCTCTTAGCATAAATATTAAACTGTTTGCATTGATAAGCTGCACTGTACAGAATAACAGAGGATTTGTTTTGCTGGCTGCTTTATAATAGTTGTTATAGCAAATGCAGTTTAGTGTGTGAGTTCTGTGAGGTACTTAACTGATTGTGCCATCATGTTCTGAAGACATTTTCCAAATTATATAAAGGAACAGGAGAAAATTAATATGCAGGGGAAGCTGAAACTAATTACAGCATAACTCTGTAAGGTTTTTAAAAGCTTTCTTTATTTTCTGTCTTGGCACAAAATAATACACTCAGTTTGGTGGGTAGTATAAGACATTCCAGTTTAAGCATTTCCATCTAAAAATGGATAAATTAACCACGTAGTTATTATTGCAGATGAAAAATCAAAAAGCTCAGCCAGTAAATACTGCAGGCCTGTTATGTGATCTGCAAAACTCAGCTAATAATAATAATCATAAAAAACATTTTCTCTCTCCCACATCTATTAACAGTTTTCACTGAGAGAAAAGATATATCAACCTTTAGGTTCCTCAGCATTTCAGAGCCCTCTTTTTACCTTTCATGTCTTTTTTTTTCCTTGTTCTCTCACACAGTCAGATTGACCAGCTTTTCCCTCACATGTTGGTGTTTGTGTTGCTGTAAATGTGGTGGCAGCCATGGTGATGCTGTGCCTGGACAGCCCAAGAGCCACCACTTGCTACTTTCCCTTTTCTGTATTTGTTACCAGCAGAGCCATTGATGAGGGGTCTCCCCACAACCAAGCACATGCCTGAACTTCCAGGAAATCATGCAATTGGGGAAGTTTTAGCCATAGCATATTCCATGTGAGGGATTAAAGGAAAAGAAGTGTGCCAGACTGGCTGTGCCAGTGTGATGACAGAAATGCATCAATGTGCTGTAAAAATACAAAAAAGGGAAAGCAGTGCCATAGCACTCCAAGTTTAGCAATGCCATGGTACTTTCATCCTTCTGTTGGTTTCTACAGCTTTGTTCCATACTAGCAAACACAGCAAGGAAATATACATTTTTATAATTTGTCAATCATCTATTTTGACCAAAATTACAACCCCTGTGTTGACATCAAAGACAGCCTAAATTTTTCATATTCAAAGCTATGGGGCTGGTTCTAGGCAGTCACTGCTGCACCTGGCAGTTCAATAAGCAATTCACCTGAATAACTCCCACAATCTGGAACATGGTCAAAAATGTGCTTTCTTACTCAGAATTAGGGTGCAAAGCCCAGATCTTTCTAGATGAGTATATTTCTGATTAAAAAAAAAAAATTCTACAGGAGAAATTGTTCCTACAATGGTCTTCAATCGGTAGCAGTGGAACAGAGCCACTGAAGATCTTGCCAAAAGCATAGCAACATTTTAAACTGAAGCAGAACAATCAAAGGCATCTAAATGATTGCACGGAATTATTTAAAATTCTTTGTATCTGACAGTTAACATGAGTTAGCAACATTAGCTCCTGATAAATAAAAAGAAACAAGAAAAGGCTGCAAACATCGAGCTGTGGTGGTAGTGGGAAAGTATGAAGATTTACAATATTGTAAGTTAATTAAAATATTCCATATAAATTAAAAATTGTTATTGGAGTTACTAAAGTCAAAATTCTGAAGGAAAATAGAACTAACTTGTGTATATTCTATGTAAAAACTGTGTAAAGAGTGAAATCACACAAACTCTGAAATACAGAATAGATTCCTTCAATACTTTATCTGCAGCAGGAGAACAGGAAAACTGCCGTGATATATTTCAGAGCAATTTAGCTGCAACATCTTGACAGTAAGTGTTCAATAACATATTATAGAAAGAATTGTTTGTTTATAGAATGCACAAAACTCCATGGTCCCTACTTTCTTACTAAAACAATCAAGACTTGTGACAGTTTCAATTTAAAAAAACCCATTTTCTGTTACAGTTGAAGAGCGTGTTCTCACTACCTCTACCCTCTAAAGTTTTCAGATTTTTCATAACCTTTTTGTCTGTTTTTGACAAATGGACTTTGCTCATTAATATTTATCAATGTTCAACTAAGTGATGGCAAACATTTGTATGAATGTTTGACTATTTGCATAACAGCACATGATGCTGTCCCTGGAAGGTGGCTGGTATCTCCATGGGCAGGTGTGCATCCACTGAGCAGACACTTGCCTGGTCACGGTTCCCTGGGCTGCACTGATTTTTGATGATCAGGGTGTCATCTACATTAGAGGACACTGATCACAATGCTAAAATCAACCAAGCTAGCTAAAGTGTGTGTTAATTATGAGTATGCAAGCAGTCAATAAAAGGTTAATGCAAAAGTCAAGGGATAAATTTATTTCAGTATTGCATCACTCTACTGACTAAATGACTAACATAATGCTTTGTTTTTAATCAATATTTTTTACAGTAATGTGTGAGTCATTGATTTGAAAAAATGCCTTTTTTCTAACAGTTAAGTTTTGCAACTATTAAGTATCAAGTGTCAACATACTTAAAACACACTTTCTTCAGAGCAGGTCCCATTTTGTTGTATTGTCATGAACAGGAATGAATTGAAGGCATGAGGCAGCCTCGGGTTCTGCATGATTAAGGCAAGTGATTAATGCAAATAAGAATTATTACCTAGGAACCTAAATAAGATACTGTGAATTAGAGTCCCTGGATCCTCTTGCACTGTTTGTCTACTCCAGAGAAGCGTAGTCAAATCAGATCAATAGGGGTCAATCTGTGGTTCAGACTGCACAGGCATGTTAAGAGTGAGGAGAGGAGATGAACAGCCCTGTTTCTGAGATGGTACTAATGTAGTTACCTATGCCCAGCAGTTCAGAGACCAATGGAGATGACCTAGAAATTCATAGGGTAAGACAAGGAAAATGGGTCTGGCTGATTTCCCCATGCACTGACACAGTCAGGAGTGGAGGATGGGACATTTGCCCTGCAGGTACAAAAGCACACACTCACCCATATACGCTTACTCCAGCACTTCTGACATTTTATGTTTTATGTGGGGAGCTATTTTCTCCCTCCATTCATGCTGGAAAAAAGGTGTTACTATTATTCAAAACTTCAGGGTAACTTTTAAAACAATGGCCCAGGCAAAAAAAGCATTTGGATCACTTAACTAAGACAAGTGTATTCCTGAAACCCAGACTGACATCACTTTGAATGGCACAGCTCTGCTAACATGGGGGCGTGCTGTTCTGAGGAAGAGGAACAGCAGCATCTTCTTTAGACACCATCTTCCACTCTTAAAACTCACAATGACTTTGCACATATGGGTCTGATCAAATATGGGCTATTAATGTTATAACACAGAGCTCTGCTGTGGAACACAAATCCTACTAGGATAGGTACCTGGGACATGGAGATTTGCTTTAGGTTTGGATTTTTTCATACTCATCCCTCACATTATTATGTAAACTACGTGTGGTTACTCTAATCTCAGTGTTGGGATAATCCCATGTCATTTCAAGGTTAGTTGCCAGAGCAT